TTTTTTCGTAATATAATTTTCTATTTTTTCGTTTACTGTAAACCCCCCCCCCCTCGGGCCGCCCTGCCTCTTCCCCAACCCCCCTTCCCCCCGTAAAAAAATATTTTTTAAATATATTTTTCAGTTTAATTTTTTTATTTATCAATTTAAAGGTTCAAAATTTTACAAGTTCCAAAATTATGAGTTCGGAGGTTTATTTTGTTTGGAAGTTTACGAGTTTAGAAATTATAAAGTTTACGGGTTCGAAATTTCGCGGTTTCGAAAGTTTAGCGGTTCGAAAGTTTATGAAATATGTGGGTTCGGAAGGTTGTTGGTTTGAAAGTTTATGCCTTCATGTTTATTATATCTAAATTGTTTATGAATACTCTTGAGAAGCCATTTTCCTTAATTTGCGTACCAAACACCGGAAAATGAATAAGATTACTACTTGTTTTCCAAGAAAACATTTTCTTGGAAAATATTTTTTCCTTTATACCAAACACACCCATAGTCTCTTTGTCCCATTTTATCCATTTGGGAGTCAACAATTTTTATTTAACTATGATTTTTTAAAAAATGTTTTAAAATATTTTGAATTACTATTAATGGTGCACCCAGTATTTTCACTAGGGTAATTCAAAATACAAAGAGGAAAATACATGAAGAAGCCAAAAGGATTTTCAACATCTACTGTATACATATAAATAACATTAACCTTATATATACGGTATAATTTTTCAGGAAGGGGGTTCTAAACGCCTTTGCATCCCCTAGTTCCCTCCATGCTAACTATATTGACTTATACTAGTTGTCTTATAGTTTTTAGATATATAAATTTTATTTAATTTAAAGAATTTATGTCTAAGTTTACATCGAAAATTAGGTACGTTGCCCCTCGCACTCTGAACCCCTTTACATAAATTGGGACAGAAGAAATATTAATTAAGTTTTGAACTCATAATTCTATAAATAGAATTTACTTAGTACTAAGAATTTTAAACGTTGTATCCACTACATTTAAATCCTAAATCCGTCCATGTTATTTTCAGGTATACATTTGTGAAAGAAAAAGTGAAAAGAAGTGCAAGGTATTATTCACCAGGGTGGAGAACTTGGGGTGCTGTTGCTATTCAATTGGCTTGGAGAAGATATAAGCATCGTTTAACACTTACTTCTTTGTCTTTCATTAGACCAAGAAGGCCATTATCTCGTTGTTCTTCGCTAGGAGAAGATAGACTTAGAATTTATACTGCTTTGTTGACTTCACCTAAGCCAAATCAAGATGATTTTGATTTCTAAAATCATTTAAGAAAAGGCATTTGTACTTATATATAATACTTATAATTTTCTTTAATTCGATTAATTATTAAAGGTGGTATTCACAGTTACCAACAAGAATTGTGGTGAAGTAGTAAATACTCCTTCATTCTTAACCAGAGATCACGAATTCGAACTCTGAGCCCGGAGCCGTCTTTATTAGGAAGCGATTTACCCTTCAACATGGGACTTTCCGATGCGAATCCAGATTTAGTCTGGCCCCAATGGAAATATCGGACATCGGGTGAATAAAAAGAGGTTATATTCATAATTGATAACTTGGTTTAATTTGTGTACATTGATACTTTAAATGTTGACAAGATTAGGGTGTCTATGTTTCTACTTCTGGGCCTCTCTCTTTGTTTCGATGAAAGCCTCAACGCTCGCGATCTACGAGAAACTTTTTTGAATATTTACCTTCATCAAATCCGGAAGCAAATGGCGAAAACTCCAAAATTGATCATTGTTTCTAAATTAAAAAAGGGATCATTTTTTTGAAACAGAACAAAAAGAAAATATAATTACATAAATTAAAATGAAAGGAGTAACTGAGTAAGTATATGATAAAATAATTTAGAATGATTGAAAAAAGGGGAAATGATGTAGAAAGAGAAAATAGAGAGAGAAACACCGGCGATTGTTGAGCAAGGAAGCTGACAAGCGCCGATAGATGGCTCACCGGAACCACCATAACCAACCTTCACAACCAACTCCTCCAATTGACCGACTAATTACACCAGAAAATGGAATTCCGCAAAAATTAGCCCCAATTCAACTGTTACATTGGCTACCAGGTATGGGCAGTGCTCCGACGGTCATGCAAGCGGTTCCACCGGCGGTGGAGAAGGAAGTTTTGCAACCTATGGCAGCAGGTATGACTACAGCAGCTCGAAAACTAACATACTCAGCTGGATCTCAAGCAAAGAAGACCATGGCTGAAGTAGTGAAACTAACAGAGCTCAAACACAAGGAATGCAACTTAAGTTCTACCCTCCGACAGTCAAAGACGGAGTGAAAATGGCCAAATTAAACCCAACGGAGATAGAGAAACAGACCCAGAAGTGGAAAACAACTTTGATAGGCTATGTTCTAGGGGGAAATCCGTCATTCAAGGAGATGCTCAAATTTGTCTATGGCGTATGGAATACAGTCACAACTCCAACAGTGTTGCTGCATGATGACGGGTATTTCATCTTTAAATTTGAATATCTGGAAGACAAAAACCTTATAATGCAAAATGGCCCATACACATTCAACAGTAGGCCTATGGTGTTAAAGGATTGGGATCCAAATTTTCAGATGAAGGATGAATCTATGAGGATTGTTCCAATTTGGATCAATCTGCCTGGATTACCAATACAGTGCTGGGCTGAGGAAAACCTAGGTAGGATTGCTAGCCTACTAGGCAAACCTATTTGCACTGATAGACTGACAGCAGAATGTGAAAGGGTGTCCTATGCTAGAGTGCTCGTTGATATGGACATTACACAACCATTGCCTAATGAGATTTGTATTGAGACACCAGATAGAAGCTGGATGCAAAGTGTTGAATATGAGTGGAAACCAAGTTTCTGCTTAGATTGCAACAAATTTGGGCATGACACTGGAGAATGTCAACAAGCGCAGCAAGAAGAGGAACAAATGAAGCATAAAAGGAAAAGAAAGAACAGAGTTAGAAAGGAATGGAAACCTAAAGCAGCAACACAGGAAATCACCAGCACAACAAATCTGCAACAAGACAATCATACAGGAGAACCAACTGTGGAGATTCAGGTGGAGAGCAGGTTGTAGTAATACAATGACATGCTGGAAAAACAAAACATCAAGAGATCAACTATGAAGAGCTAGCTAGAAGAAATGCATTTGCACCATTGACAATATTGGAGCCAAAGGAGAGTACACAAGTATTGGATGGACAGCAAGGGCAAACATCTAGTACTCAAGCTAGCCAAATGGTAAATGAGGGTAGTACCAACCACCATAAACCCCCATGATCATTGTGTCCTGGAATATAAGAGGACTGAATAAGTCCTTTAAACAGCGAGAACTAAAGAAATTCTTGCTGATAAATAAAGTAGACATGATAGCTGTTTTGGAGACTAGGGTTAAAAGTCACAGAATGCAGAATATCCGCAGAAAGTTGGGTGTAGAATGGCAATTCAAAGATAACTACGATTATGCTCCAAATGGTAGAATATGGTTAATATGGAAAGAAGCAAATGTCCATGTTACAGGTTTTGAAAGCAATGACCAGGTGATCCACTGTCTAGTAGAGGACAAAAACTCATCATTTACTAGTTACATGACATTTATATATGGACTTCATAATGCTCAACACAGAATCCCACTATGGAGAAGTTTGAGGAACATACAAACTACTGGGCCTTGGCTAATAATAGGAGACTTCAATAGTGTGCTGAATGTGGATGACAGAGTGAATGGAGTTCCGGTACATCAAGCAGAAATGATTGACTTTCAAAATTGCATTGAGGATATTGGAGTAGGACAAATCACAAAGAGAGGTAGCAGATTTTCATGGAGTAATAAAAGGGATGCAGAAATCAGAATATACAGTCACATAGATTGGGCCTTTGGGAATGCTGACTGGTTCAATAATTATAATGGGATAGAGACAATATACATGCTACCAGGATGTTCTGATCATACCCCTATTTTGATAAACACTGATGTGGTTAAGGTCAGAATGAAAAGACCTTTCAGACTATTAACCTCAGTGATGCAACAAAGAGAATACAAGGTAGTGGTACAGAACATTTGGGGGCAGGAGATTCAAGGTTATCCAATGTACTCTATATGGAAAAAGTTGAAACTCATTGAGCAACAAACCAGGGACATTCAACAGGAGCATTCATCAGTTGATCAAAAACTGATACAACTCAGAGGAGCACTGAAGGAGATACAGGGGAAAATCAATGAGGACTATTTCAACAAACAACTGATAGAAGAAGAGAGAATGATCTTGCAAAGCTTAGAGAAATGGGAAGCAATACAAGAGCAAATCATGAGGCAGAAGTCAAGAGCAACATGGATCCAGTTAGGAGATTGCAATACTAAATACTTCCATGCTTATATGAGGGCCAGACAAGCTAGGAACAAGGTGAGCTGCATCTACGATGAACAACAAGTGAAGATTACTGAGCCTAATCACATTCAGAAAGAATTCATCCAGTTCTTTCAGCAACTATTGGGGACAGCAGCAGGGGAACTATAAGGTATTGATGTTAATATAGCACGAAATGGTCCTTGTCTAACACTAAATCAGCAGCAGCAACTACTACAGGCAGTAACAGCAGAGGAGATCTGGCAAACTGTAAAGCATTTGCCTAATGACAAGGCACCAGGGCTGAATGATTACCCGGCTGAGTTCTTTAAAGAATATTGGCCAATCATTGGAGAGGAGGTCACAGAAGCAGTACAACAATTCTTTCAAACTGGCAGACTGTTGAAAGAAATCAACTCCACTACTGTTACATTGATCCCTAAGGTGAAAAATCCCAGCTATGTGAAGGAGTTTAGGCCAATTGCTTGTTGCTCAACAATGTATAAGATTATTGCTAAGATACTGACAAATAGGCTCAAACTAATTGTGGATATTTTGGTTGGACCAGCTCAATCTGCTTTTATAGAAGGGAGGAACATCCTCGACAATGTCATAATGGCCCATGAGTTGATTAAAGGGTACTCTCAAAAAGTAGTCTCTCCAAGATGTATGATCAAGGTGGATATCAGAAAAGCGTACGACTCAGTTGAATGGAGTTTTTTGAAAGCAATACTACTGGAATTTGGGATACCTTACAAGATGGTTGCACTAATTATGGAGTGTGTATCCACAGTCAGCTATACTCTACTTTTGAATGGAGGATTAACTGACAGATTTGCAGCAAAAAAAGGGCTAAGGCAGGGGGACCCTATGTCCCCATACCTGTTTGTAATAGCAATGGAGTATCTTAACAGAGCCCTGAAGACACTAGCACAGAATCCAGACTTCAACTTTCATCCTAAATGTGCTAGACTGCAAGTCATACACATCTGTTTTGCAGATGATTTATTGATGTGTTGCAGAGCAGATGAGATCTCAATGAAGCTATTGATGGAAGTCTTTGATCACTTCTCCAAAGTATCAGGCTTACAAGCAAACTTAGAAAAGAGCTCACTATACATAGCAGGTGTGTCTATGGAATTCAAGAACAAAATGTTATCAGAACTTAAGCTATCAGCAGGCAGCATCCCATTCAAGTACTTGGGAGTCCCTTTGTCCTCAAAGAAGATTACTATTCACCAGTGCATGCCATTAGTGGAGAAGATTGTGGAAAGGATAAGAAGCTGGACATCAAAATTCTTGTCCTATGCTGGAAGAGTACAACTCATTAAGAGTGTCCTGTTTGAAATGCAGACCTATTGGGCCCAAGTATTTCTTATTCCTAAGAAAGTTATCAAACTTGTCAATGGAATATGCAGGAACTACTTATGGACTGGGAGTCATGAGAATTCCCACAAAGCTCCTATAGCATGGGAAACATTGTGCAAACCAAAAGCTGCTGGGGGTCTAAATATTATCAATTATGAGAGATGGAACAAAGCTGCTCTGACTAAACTCCTTTGGGCTATAATGGCTAAAAAAGATAAGCTCTGGATTAGATGGATACACTGCCACTACATAAAACAGAAGAACATTAATACAATGGAAGTCCCTAAGCAAGCTAGTTGACTAGTAAGGAAATTGTTTACAGCAAGGGAATGGTGGGCAAATGACATACCAACAATTGATTCTTTTGTTAAGAATGGGAAATTCAGCATTCAGAAGGCCTATATCCATGCTACTCCAAGATATCCCAAAGTCCACTGGAAGTCTCTAATCATGCTAATTGGAATACTACCAAAGCAACAATTCATTTTATGGATGGCAATGCAAAGAAGATTGGCCACAGTTGACAGACTAGCAAGATGGGGAATACAGGTGAATCAATCTTGTGTACTGTGTGGAGGAGACATAGAAGAGATACATGATCACTTGTACTTTGAATGTCCATATTCACAAAGTTTATGGACAGGAATACAAGAATGGTTGAGATACAAGAGGAAGATTGAAGAATGGGAAATTGAAGTGCAATGGCTAACTACCAGTGTAAACAACAGAAATCCAAAGAAAACTTTGCTAGGAGTGGTGTTTGCAGCAGTAGTATACAACATCTGGATGGAAAGAAATGAAAGAAGATTTCAAGGCCAGAGAAGAGAGGTTCAAGATAGAGCAAAAGAAATTGCTAGGCAGGTGCATATATCAGGACAGAAGAATTGTAAATGGACACCTATATTGAATACACTAAATAGTTATCCTACTTGTAATCCATAGCAACTAGGATAGGATAAAGATCCAGAATTGTTTTGAGATCTTAGTAAGCAACTTGGTTGTAGAGTTTTTTTGTTTATTGGTTCAGTTTTGAGGCCTGATACTAGAGTCCAATTGTACAGGTGATGTAAATTGTGATTACTGGTTGAAATAAAATTCTTTCTTTCGATAAAAAAAAAAAAATAATTTAGGTGCGCTCAAACTAGATACCATAATTGTAAAAAAGAGTTAGAAAAAAGAAGAAGAGAGAGTAGACCGGCACTAAAATCCTATGTTGCTAGGACTCTCCGTTAGTACCGCTGGATGCATGTCGGATCCTCCAAATATATTATATATTTGGAGGATCAACACGGATACAACGGAATTTTGGAGAGTCTACCCAACATAGCTAAAATCTGATAGTATTAGGACCCCAACAACTCAAATTCATAACTTTATTCAAACTCTCCTCTCTCATCTCCGGCCTCATAATCTTGCCGGAGAACTCTGAAACAGTCGACGCCGGCGAAGAAGAAGAAGCTGATAATAAATTAGTCTTAGCATGTTGGTGCAATGACCTAAAAGTATAAGTCCATCTAGCAAAACCTTGATCTTTTAATGCCTCAATTGCTCCAATACTTACTGCAACAATCCATGTTGATCTCTTTGTAGCAGCTGCTGCTACTGCAGTCATTTTCTTGATCAAAATATTAAATTTTCCAGCTCTTTTTAGGAGATCATGTGTTAATAGATTGAGGAATAGGAAATCTTGATCATGTATATATATATATATATATATATATATATATATATATATATATATATATATATATAGTTTAGAGGAGAGAAGAGGAAATTAAATCAAATGAGAAAATATTGATACATGGTCCCTTTAAGTTTGGAGTAGGTTTAAAATAGTCTCTTATATATGTTTTTGAACGATTTTGATCATTTAAGTTTGTCAAAAGCAAGCACTTTATTATCTATGTTAAATATTTAACAAATTCTCGTTGTTAGATTTAACGAAAATTGTCAAGAAATATTTTTTTAACCGAAAATACCAAGAAAGTTTCGTCAAATCCTAGAAAACAAAATATTAAAAATAAATTAAATAACAAAAAGAGCAAAAATTGCAGCTAAAAGACTGCACCACACACCAAAAATATATCATAATAATAATAATAATAATAATAATAATAATAATAATAATAATAATAATCATAATAATAATACACCTCCAAATGTGAGTTCCATTAAATATTTTTTTTACAATTCTCATTAAATCTAACAACTAGAGTTTGCTAAAATATTTGACGGGAGACCAAAGTGCTTACTTTTGACAAACTTAAATGATCAAAGTTTATCATATATAAACGGACCATTTTAGACTTACTCCAAATTTAAGGGACATCTTTGTCGAGGATAATAGAAAATCAACACGTGTGTAACTGTTGGAAACAAAATTTAAAAAAAAAAACAAAAAAAAATTGCCTATAGTTTAGGCGGAATTGGAAAAAACTAGTGGCTATCCAGACACAAATTATATTTTAAGTCAATTTTTCTAGTTGATATTGCCCCACAAATTTTGGATCTTGTTGGGTGGTTTTTGCTCCAAATGCACAACATATGCAGACACTGGAAAGTGAAAAAGGAAATATTCAAATTTTATTTGAATCAAAACTAGATTAATCGGGTTAGTAAATTTCAAATATTAACCGATTAAACAAAAAAAATAATGTCAAAATATATTATAACCAATGACGTATGCAAGAGTTTATGCAAGTGTGTACCACCCATTATCATAACTCAATTTATATGCGCATTTGAATCTAGAGCCGTAGAGGTTTTAGTGTTAAAATATCATGGTATAGCCAGTTTTCACACTGGTCAATGAAAAATAGTCAGCGTTTATCAAGTCAATGAAAAATAGCCACTATTTTGCTGCAACAGGGACCGGTCCAGTATAATATACGGGAGTTCTGGTGCATTTGTGTACGAACTCCAGCATATTATGCTGGACCGATATACTTTGCTAACTCCTGTAAAATTTGCGGGAGACTGGAGCACCAGTGCTCCAAACTCCAGTATATTATACTGAACAATTATACTTGCTGGAACTCCCGTAAAATTTGCGGGAGTTCCAGCATAATTATGCTTGAACTCCCGTAAAATTTGCGGGCGTATTTTTCCGGATTTTGAACAGTGTTTTCGCTCGGATTTAAAGTGGCTAAATTTCGATGACTTTTGAAACTTGGCTATTTTTCAACGACCAGTGGTAAATCTGATTATTTTTGAATTTCTCCCGGTTTTAGTGCTTTACTTCTTGTCCCAAATTGATATTTATTTTACATTGTTTTTTAACGAAACATTATTTCATATTGTAAAAATAGCACGGGCTAGCCAGTTTTCGGACGGGTCTTCAAAAATAGCCAGCGTTTGCAAAGTCATTAAAAAATAGCCACTATTTTGCTGCAACACGGAAAGTTCCAGCATAATATACTAGAGATCGGTGCACCTGTGTATGAACTTCCAGCATATTATGCTGGACTGGTATAATATACTGGAACTCTAGTATAATATGCTGGAAGTCTAGTATATTATACTGGAACTCCAGTATATTATGCTAGAGTATTTTTCGGATTTTGAATAGTGTTTTCATTCAGATTTATCTTTACATAAAAAGTGGCTAAATTTTGATTATTTTTGAAACTGTAACTATTTTTGAATGACCACTTGTAAGGCTATTTTGAAATTTCTCCCTTCCATGTTCCCATTCTGAGAGTCCTCCTTAGTTCCGGACTCTCAGAATTAACAAGTAGGAGGGGACATTCTGTACAAAGAGCCCAAGAGGTTGGACTAGAAGAATGCAACCAGGATTGGTTGCTTCGTTGCACATTGCAATAACAATTTGGTATTTTTGACTGCCTATGCAGGGGCGTATCTAGTAAAGAAGCTACTGTTCATCTGAACCATCAAAGTAATTCCCATAATTCGAATTTGCTGTCATTTTATGAATGTTATACACACATTAATCAAAGTTAGGTAGCACTTACACCCCGTACCACTAAGGCTTTCGCTTGGCCTCTTCGCCCACGCCTTTTATAACACTCATTTAGACTTTTAGAACAATTGAAAAATTACTGCATTGGGAATTAGTTTGCATTTTGGTGAATGCGATATATAAGTCATAATTATTGAATGCGATTTATAAGTTGCACTTAGAAAATTCGATTTATAAGTCGCATTTTAAAAAATGCAACTTATAAGTTGCATTTAATAATTTCGATTTATAAATCGCGTCTAAATTGCATAATAAGCAAATTCTACTTCCCACTTCCACGGGCTTTCCTTTTTGTACTTATGCGAATTCTAAAGATTTTTACTTAACATTATTAATCAAGAATCGCTTAAGTTAAGTAGGATAATGGTTTAAATATATCTGAAATTGATCACGAATTTCTGGCATTATAAGCAATAGAGTTCTTTAGTTTTTGAACCTATAAAGTTGAATTGCAGAAATTGTCTTTCATAAAATTACTAAAGGATAGATACAATCGCCTATAATATTCGAGACGTGATGTTGAACTCGAAAAGCATTTTTGAAAAATATTTCAAATATTATAAACTTAACATACCTAAATAAACTTTATTGTAAAAAAATTAAGTTTATAAACTTGGTGACTAGTCAAATTACATCACATAAAATAAGATCGCAAAAATAATAAATCTAAGGTAATTTAGCAGGTTGAAATTTGGGAACAAAAGCGGGTCATTCGCCCAAAACTCTTACAACCCGGTAGATTTTCAGTCCATTGATGCGCGCACATCCGTCGAACGGCAGCGCGACTGAGCCCAAAACAACCGTCCGCAGCTGATTTTTCCGTCTTCTTCACTCGAACGCCATGAGCCATAGATTCTTTGCGTGGGAGTGAAAAAAATGCCGGCACCAGTTTTCAATGGCCACATCAAGGTCCGTATATTTACCCAATTAATATTGCTTTCATTTCTCAAGTATTTTTCCTGTCTTCTTAATTTTTGATCTCATTATATGCTTAGGATTATTCATTTGTACAATTCGGTATTTCTAGATTAGGTTTGAATTGGCTCTTACTTAATAGGACCCTAAGCTGCAATGTGTTAACACGAAGGATGGTTATTCTCTTACAATCCTATTTCGTTAAGGTTTAGATTGTGGTCGGCATGGGAAAAATGTTTTATTTTGGAAAGTGTTTTTGCCTTGAGTAATAATTTTTTTGATCAATTTTCAATGTTTGGATAAATTATCTTAACATGAGACAAAAATACTAGGTGAGTTTTTTCATCTGCCTAAGGGTGTTCAAGAGTTGGAAAAGTAAATAACAAAAAATTTCGATCAGTGGTTTAGTGATTGTTCAGCCTAGCGATTCTGGCATGAACAATCTCAACAATATGTTTCCACCAAATACAAACAGTGAAAAACATTCAGAATTTTTAGTTGTGTTGCTTCAGTAATGAAATTATACGGACTACTTTTTTGTTTTTGGTGGGTAAAATTATACAGACTACTATATAAACTGAAATACTAGTGATCATTCTATCGAATTGGCTAAAGAAGAATATCATGTTGACTGTGGATTACTTCCTTAAAGAATTCATGGCTGTAATTTTTAAGTGTATGTATGCAGCAGCGTTTTGATTGATCCTGGGATGATGGGGCTATCTTTGTTTAACTGTAATTCGAAAGCGCGTTCAGCCAGAGGCGGATCTAGGATTTCTAGAATATGGGTGCACCACTAAAGAAAAGGAGAAAAAAAGTGTTAAGTGTGAATTGATCCCTGTTTCTTTGAGTAAATAATTATGTATTGTACCAAGTGCACCGTTCAACCTTTATGGAGCACGGGTATCAATACATAATATTGGACCAATTTTTGAAAATACGTACATAAAATACTTGACGGAGGTACCATGGGTTCACGTGCCTCGTAATTTTGGCTATACATCCGCCCCTGTGTGCAGCTGTGGCGTATGAGTTTCAAACCTGCCAC